GGTCCCCCCCTAGGACTAACAGGAGTAATTCCTGAGTGCAGAGCCGGGAGTAACCCCTGAGCATCACCAGGTATGGGCACCCATACCCTCCCTCCCTGAAAAAAAAAATGTTTTCCCCTGCTATGTTACTAGAATACAACAGGCAGGAGATAGAGAGAAGAAACTCAACCGGACACCAGAGCACCAACAGAACAAGCCCAGGATGGTAAGCTCCAGAAGCCAGGGATGGAGGGAGGAGGGAAGTGGGAAGGGCGGGGGACACTGGAGCCCTGAAAAATGGGGCAGAAGCTCACAGGGCCAGCAGGAAGAGCAGTGTCCTCCAGGCGTCTCTGTCCCGGGAAGCAGACAGCCCACAGGAGGAGAGAGCCCAGATCCATCTATTCAGACCCTTTGCCCATTGGAAAATGGGACTACTGTTGTCCAGTGTGGGTTCCTTCTGCCCACATAGAGCAAGCACCAAATACTCTCTCACCATGATGGTTTTTGCTAAAAGGGAAACGCTTTTATTGTTGTTACTGGCAGGGTCGAGAGGAGATGAGAGTTGCTGAGAACTCAAACCAACCCCTTATATCCTTTGGGTTCCAGAGGAATACTTTACAAGACCAGAAAGAGCTGCAAGAGGAGCCTGGTGGGAGCATAGACATGGCTGCCCCTGATGGAACCCATCCTCAGAAGAGAGCAACTCCCCAGTGCCTGGGGCCCAGCCACCGGGACAATGACAGTCAGTACCTGAGGATTCCCAGATCAACAGAGCCAAGAGCTATGAGGTCACTGGGCCACCCGGCTGTCTGGACGGTAATTGTTTTTCTGTGTATTTCTTTCTGAAACATGACTTACAATGAGTCATTATCTCTAAGTCTCTGTTTATTCAGGGCTCTATGATTCCTGAACCATGAAGAACCAGGGATTGAATATAATATTATATATTATTTTAATATAATAAAATATATTTTATTATATATAATATTATATTAAAAAAAAAAACTCATGCAGGTGAGCAGCTGGTTCCGATCCCAGGTTGCCAGATTATGGGGCTATTGCATTTCCCACAGCCACCTGGAGATGAGAGGGTTTCTGATGGAGGGATCCCAAACACTGATCAGGTCACCGCTTCCACACTGCACAAAGGAGAATGGACGTCAGCTGCTCTGTCAGCTGTGTGCAAAGAGGCCCCATCTGCTCCCTCACGGCACTGCCAGGGTGAACCTTCACATCCATGTAGGGAAAACCTCCACTGGGAACCTGAAAGCCACACCCAACTCCAAAAGAAACCCAAGGAAAGGTGGGGCAGAGAAGGCCCCTAAGGCAGCAGTAACGATGGACACACTGCACCTCAGAACTGACCCAGCAGTCGTTACGCATTCTTCTGTACGCTCAGCACACTTCCAAGTCAATGTTTGGGGGACACGTGACGATGCTCAGGGGTTCCTCCTGGCTCTACACTCAGGAAACACTCCTGGTAGTGCTTGTGGGACCATATGGGATGTTGGACATGGAACACGGGTCGGCCATGTGCAAGGCAAATGCCCTCCCCACAGTCCTGTTTTTTCCATCCAGACAGACCCTCATTTCTTTTTTTAAATAAAGGGCTAAAGGACTGTAGGACAAGAGACTATATTCTGGAAAGTCTGAGTAGCAGGGAAGAAAATAACAGGCTAGAGCCCCAGTGAAAGGAGAGAGAGAGAGAGAGAGAAAGAGAGAGAGAGAGAGAAAGAGAGAGAGAGAGAGAGAGAGAGAGAGAGAGAGAGAGAGAGAGAGAGAGAGAGAGAGAGGCCCTGTCCTCAATAGTCTACACACTTACTCATGGCGAGCTTAGGCTTGCTCTGGGCCTGAGCCCAGCTGTTCCTCCTCCTCGTGTCTGGGGCCCCCATTGTCTCTGCCTTGTCCTCCCGAGATGGGCAGCCTCTCCTTCCTGTGCCAAACTGCTTTGCTCAGCTGCAAAGCCTGGGCTCAGCCGAGTGAGAACAGCCCGGCTTCTGCCGGGGACCCTTGGGTTTCTGCTCCTGCACATTCAGTGCCGGGGTCTCTTCTATCCTCATCAAATTCCCATGGAGGCTCAGGCTCCTAGAGCTCGGGGCCCGTCTGTGAGGCCAGGAGGGAAGAATCTCGTTTTCCCAGCAGCATCACAGAACCAGGGAGATGAGGCCATAGGAAGGGCGGGAGGAAACAGGCAAATCTGCACTCCCTGGGCTGGGCAAGGCTGAAGGGCAGAGCTGGAGGCCAAACCTGTCTGTCTCCCATGATCCTGCAGAAAGAGCCGCTCATCTGGCTACAGCAGCCTCCGCTGCAGCCCGGTTCGCCAGGACAATCCCCTCTCAGCTGCCCTGCCCTGCATCCAGATAATCGGTTTGTGATGTGGCTACAAAGTGAGGGAGCTCCTGGCTGGCCGAAGATGTCAGCTTTGAGTCCTCCCTTGAAGTCCCCCAACAAATTGTTTCAATCCAGAGAAAAGGAAGCTTGTGATCTTGGAGACAAAGATGTCCCTCCATTTAGCAAAGGCGGCATGGAAGTTTCCTTGGAATTATAAACGGAAAACGCAGTGTTCCTGCAGGAAATCTGGAAAAATCAGAAACTATATAAAGAAGGAAACAGAAGGACCCCTGATGCCACTCTCAGGCACGGCTAAGGGCCGACTGCAGAGCGAGCTCTTGCATAGAAGCCATCGGTGTCACACACAGCCACAGCCCCTGACCATGGAGAACATGCAGCCACGGTGCCCATCTGCTGTACAACACGCAACCACACGGCCCCCATCGCTGTGCAATGTGCAGCCACAGCCAACCGCTGTTGAACACGCAGCCACGGCCACCACCCGCTATGTCACGTGCATCCACGGCCCCTGTTCGCTGTATAATGCAGCCACAGCCCCACCTGCCAGGCAGCAGTCAGAGCCCGCTCTGAGGTCAGTGATGGGCCTGAGCAATGGAGGGAGGGGCACTGGGTGGGCCTCAGTTAGCTACACTGCGCCCCCCACCCCCACCCCTGTGAGGCTGTGAGCCCTGCTGCCACAGGAGAGGCTCGCTGTCCATCAGAAGGACATTAACATCCACCCTGGGGTGCCGGGCCACAGTCCCAGCAGGAGGCTTTTCCAGAAACTGGCCCTCCATCTACACCAGCTTCCCCTTCGGCCCATGGGGCAGAGGACGACGCTCTTTCCCAGGGTTCCCCCACTCCGCAGGCTATCCCCCACCATGCAGAGTGTGGGGTCACCAGCCCCCATGCAGACAGGCCTTCCGAGAACCAGGAGGGGCATGGGTGTGCCTCTGCTTTTCACTCACTGCCCAAACCTGCCGGCCTGAGACGTGAAGCCGAGGACAGGAAGAGGAGAAGCTCTCTGCCGGCCGTGCAGCCCCACTGCCACGGCTGGACAGGCAGCTGGGAGGGACAGAGGAGTCAGGGGAAGGGGCTCCTGGCACCACCTCAGCAGCCCCCTCCAGGAGGAAGGCAGCCTGAGATGCAGGACTAAGGAGAGTGAAGGCAGGGAGCCGGCCCAGGGAAGCCCAGGCATCTTGAGCACAGGTTATAGAAATTGACCTTTATTGTACTAAAGTCTGTTTAACGTCGGATACAAAGCGATGTTTTAGTACAGAGGCCCCCCAGTTGGTGGGAACAGTACCTGCACGCTGTCCCACCCTGCCCAGCTGTGTGTCCGGCTCAGACTGCCCTGGGGACTGCACACAGGAGCTCCAGCAGCCCCCGTGAGTGTCTGAGCTGGGGAACTGTGTACCTGTAAAACAAAGGGCTACACTGGGCCTGAACTGGCGCTCTCTTTTTGAACTGTGCAAGAAAATATATTCCTTAAAAAAAAAAAGTCAGTATGGCTAAACTACCCTCTAGTGTCTAGAATTATAAAGAATAAAATGAAATCAATGATTTCTCGCTAATAAAATGAAATGTTAGGAAGAGTATTAAAATTGAGGTCCTACCCCAGAGGTGCTCCCAGGGAGCCCGGTACAGTACCTGTTACTAACAGAACGCACAGTTTGAAGGCGACCACATCAAATCTTCAGCTGGACACAGCGAGCTGTCAGAAGTGCAAAAAAAAAAAAAAAAATCACCCCAGAAAGCTCTAACGCCAAAGGCCACAGCCAAGACCACGACAGCCTGATTCTTTAGCTCTTTCCAATGGCGTCAGCACTGAGCTCTGTAATTCCCCTAAGAGTATGAAAGGTGAATGCTTTCACATACTAAAAAACGTGGCTGTGCCCGCCCCACTCCAGGGAGCTTCAGAATTCATTACCCTGCAAAAATTGCACCAGTCAAGGTGGCCATAATGGCCAGAACCTCAAGAGGACCCAATGCATGCACCCCCACCCCCCACCGAGCTTAAGCCCTGCCCACACCTAGCTGTGTACTCGTCTGCCCAAGCTCTGATGGATCAGACAGAGGCTGACACCAAACATGGAGGAGAAAACAAGAGGACGCAGGGGAGGAGGAAGAGGAGAGGATGAAGGAACACACCGTTCGGGCTGGTCCAAGCCACCTGCGGTGGTGCAGGAGGGAAGAAGTAGCCGTGGTAGGCAGGGTCGACCCTCACCCCCAGCCCCAGGGGTGTTCCCACAGGACTGGAGCCATGGAGGAGCCAAACCCATCTTGGTCCCACCAACAAGAGCCTCCCACACACGGCAAAGCAGCCTCCCATGAGGTTCCAAGGTCGTTGCGCTGAAAACAGGAACAAAACCAACATAAAAGCAACACAGGGAGTGGACGGAGGAACGGGGCCGGGCACCGACAATATGGCGCCGTTCAAGTAAACATAAACCACCAAATACTTAGAAAAGGCTTGTAAACTTGTGATCTGAAAGGTTCTCTCTGCAGCATCTCCGGGGAGCTGGCGAGGGAAGGCTGGTGCCGCCGCCCTGTCAGAAGCCTTCTGTGTCTGTCTTGGCTGGGTTTTGTCTTAAAGCACACGTGTGAGAAGAGACATCTGATGGCGCCGGGCTGCTGGCATCTGTGTCTGTCCACACAGGCAGTGCCGCTGTAGTCTGTGCCACAGGGCTGTCCCCTGCATGTCCAGATGCCAACGCTGACACGGCTCCAGCCCCCACACACCCAGACGCTGGCGTGGAAGTGAGCTGCTAGCAGTGGACGGAGCTGCCTGGCTGCTCCCCGCGGGCTCCCTAGAGCGGGCAGGCAGGGATCCACAGGACTTTGTTTTGCTCTTGAGTGACCATTGCCAAGATCTGAGCGCACATGCTGGGCAGGGCACCTCCCTGGACGACCCCTGCAAAAGAGCAGCCCAACAAGCCACTGAGCGGGGCAAGTTTGGGTGCGAACAGCTTCACCAGCCCCCTCTCCTTAAATGCTCTGTGGCCCTCTGGCCCACTTTCATTAACAGGGATAGAGGGAAGAAAAAGGAAAGGGAAGCTTGTGGGACTAATCCTTCCAGTTCCTGATCTGTTCCTTTAAGTCAAAGGCCCAGCAGAAGCTAAACATAATGGGCTCCAAGGAAGGTTCTATCCAATTCTGTTGGGCTTCTCACCCCAGCCACTAGCAGCCACCCAAGTTTGACCACGCCAGCAGGGACCCCCGGGACGGGTAACCGGGTGGTCTCAATAAGTCACAAAGCAGTTTAGAGTTTGTTGTGATGGACTGATTGGCAGCAGGATTCTATAGGACACCAAGCAAGGTTCCACAGCACGGTCTGGCAGTCCCAACCCCAGGAGATAGACACAGGGTCCCACACTGGCCTGACCCAGCTCTGCGAGCACTTGGGAGATGAGCCAAACCTCACTGCCTGCCACAAAGTAAGGACATAAATGGACAGTGAGCAGAGGGTGCCGATTATAGACAGGGCTAGCCTGCAAGCTCTGGCTTGGTCTACTGCACTCTCTGGTCATTGTTCACATATTAAAATCTCTGCATGTGACAAACTAAAGATTTTCTCTCTATATAAAGATTCTCTCTCTCCTTCTCTCTCTCTCTCCCTCTCCCTCCCTCCCTCTCCCTTTCTCTCTCTCTCTCTCTCTCTCTCTCTCTCTCTCTCTCTCTCTCTCTCTCTCATCCTCTCTAGATCTCAAATGTCTCCCTGTCCCTAGATCTCAGTGGCCCCTTTGCTACTTCCCTGCAAGAGGTGGACCCCTGGGCCTGAGGGCTGCACTGTTTGCCTGAGGGGGGCCTGAGCGGGCACCCGCAAACAAGCATGTCTGCATGGCAGCAGCAGACAAGGCCTGACTGTGCAGGATTTACCTCCCACCCTGTCAAAGGGCTGCAGCACTGTGCCCAGCCCACGCCACGTACCTGTGAAATACCTGCTGTACTCCTGCTCAATCTTCTGAGCCGTCTCAAATTGCTCTTTGGAATGCCTCTGAGTTACCTTGTCCTTCAGGTAGACGGGGTCTCTCTGCTCCCTGTGGGGATGTTCGGGGAAGCAGGTGAGCATGCGTGCCTCCCTGGTGGCCCCACTTCCCACTGTCCAGAGTGTCAGGGCGCCATGGGGTGGGGCACGCAGGGCAGCAGACACGGGCACACAGGGAGGTAGAGGGAGAGGGGCGTAAGTACGCGGGACGCCCAACAGCACAGCCTTGGCTGCTCGTGGGCTCCCGGTGCCACGCCCTCCCATGACTGGACAAGACCTAACCTGGGTCACCAGCTGCTGAGTTGCCCTGAGCACCCAGTCGGGGAGAGGCAGGAAGAAGAAAGAACCAGCCTTGGAGCAGTGGGAACACCAGCCACTGGGGCAGAAAGGCTAGACGGAGGATGGACAGATGGACGAACAGACAGGCAGACAGAGGGGCCATGCCTGACACTCAGAGCTGCCTCCCTTGGGGCAAGGTGGGCCTGCTGTGAAAAGGCCGTTCCAATATATGCTGAATATTCCCAGGACAACTTGTTCTACCGCCAGCAAGGGCATGCACACAAACACACCAACTGTTCCTTACAGTTACACACACCCACACCCACACCCACACACACACACACACACACACACACACCGACTGTTCCTTATAGTCACACACCCCGACTGTTCCTTACAGTTACACACACACACACACACACACACACACTGACTGTTCCTCACAGTTATACACGTACATACCCCTGGCCTATTTCCTGACATGAACACACACCAAACACACAGACCCTGTCTGTCTGTCAAACACACACACCACCTGTCCGTCACACATGAACACGGCCACAGGCACAGACCCCCGCCCCCACCTACTTGATGTGCTTGGCGCTCCTGTAGTGGATGAAGATGACGATGGGGTAGATGTGCATGTGGTGCAGTCGCTCGATGGCGTGGGGGGCGATGTCCAGGAGGCAGTGCCGGTTCTGAGGGGGCAAGAAGGCAGGGGGCCCTGCAGCTGTCTCCTGCCACCACTGGGCTCCCACAGTGCCACAGCCAGGAAGGTCTGTCTCTGCCAGCTGCCGGCACTGATGGTGGCATCAGAGCCAGGCCCGTCCACGTGGGGACAGAGCAACTGCCCCTGCTGTGCCCACTCAGGAGCTCCCGTGAGCTTGCCCCTGCTCGGGACCCTGTTCTGCGCCAGGGCAGGTAAATGCAGGCTCCAACTCATGTGGAGCCAGGCAGGGGCCCGAGGCCACAGTGAGCTGGAGGGGCAGCCCTGGGCGCAATGTCTACAGCCGGCTGCACCCCAAGCACAGGGCACGGGGTGCTGACAGGTTCCAGCTTCCTGGGGCTCCTGACAGCAGCTTGCCCGAGCCCTGACTTCAGAAGAGGGAACCAAAGCCCAAGGGCACTGGCCAGTGGAAGGGCAGTGGCGAGGAAGGTGGCCCTGGCCTCTGCCTTCCTCTTCCCCCTGACCCGCACACACATCACTCACAAATTTCCCAAATTCTCCTCTCATGCCCCAGGCCCAGGGACACTGGTATGTTCCAAAGTTGACAGACGCAGCCACAGTTCTAGGGAAGACCCCAAAACACAGCACAGCTGCTTCTGCAAGTGCATCCTGGACCCCCATGAATGGCCTTTCCTGGGCCCTGTGGCTCCTGAGACCCCCTCAGGGGTGGGGTAGCGGGGCTGTGGACTAGCACCGAGCAGAGCTGCAGGCTGAATGCACTGATCCACACTAACAGCTAGGGTGAGATGTTCAGGACAGAGGGTGAAAGGCCAAAGATTTGGGCTAGGTCACCCGAAGGAACAGCTACCTTCTCTGTGACCTCCTTGATGGACGTCACTGTGGTCACGTCGAAGTGGCCGCTCCGCCGTTTGTAGTCAACAAAGAGACAGTCCCTGACGCCCCGCTCAATGGCCTGCTGGGAGGCCTTCATCACCTCTGCAAGCACAGACCCAGCATGTGGGGGGACCACGCCAAAAGCCAGGCGCCTCAGCCCCATGCCCCCCGCTGCCAGAAGGACCCACGGTCACCACCCAGATGAAAGCGGGGGCCAGCCCAAGAGGTACAGCATGCAGGCGCGACAGGAGATGACCCACGGGCCTGGAAAACCCTTACCAAGGGGGCATCTGCAGAACTTGCCAGGTGCCTCGTTCACCAGCATTTCCTTCACCACGTCCAGTAACGGTCCCAGGATGAGGACGGGTCTCAGGGAGGTGCAGTCCACCTTCTGGACGCGCTGGTAGGCCAGACTCACTGTATCTGGGGGCAGGAGGAGGGTCATAGTGGGAACTCTTCCCCCAGACAAGCTCACCCTATTTTACAGGGGCCCTGCCCAGTCTCAGCACTGAGTCCCCGCTGCTGAGCACCCCAGGGCCCGTCGTGCTGGGGCTTAGCCCAGCATTTTCCCCTGTGAGCATCCAGATCCTCCTCAAGGGTCACCTCCATGTCCCTAACCCCACTCTATCTGTCTCTCCCATATATATATATATACATATATATTTTATTTTTCGGCATTTGGGCCACACCGGAAGTGCTCAGGGCTTAATCCTGGTTCTGCACTCAGAGATGACTCCTGGAGGTACTCAAGGGACCAATAAGGGATGACGGGGATCAAACCCAGGATGGCCCTGTGCAAAGAAAATGTCCCATCACTCCGATCCCCTCCCTTTTTTAAAAAACTATGAAAGATTAATATATACTTGTTCACCAAAATATTGACAGTGAGAATAAAGAGTGTGTGTGCATACTCCAGGACCTATATCCCTATGAATAAGACAGTTACTAATGTAATTAAACCCCACCAGCTTTGTCATATCCTGCTGATTGCAAATAAGACACAGTTCTCTCCAACATTAAGGCCAGGAAGACAAAGGTGGGTGCAGACTGTTGGTGGTGGCTGGGTAAATTGGGGAGCAAAGGAAGGAGCCTCGAGAAAGCAGTGTGCCCCCCCTCCCTGCTGGGTGCACCTTGGCCACTGGGGAATGTCTGGAGTGGGTGAGGGCTGGGAAAGTCAGCTCCAAGCCTCCACATGACACAGATGCTCCTGGCCTGCCAGCCCCACGAGGCAGCCGTTGAGCTGTGTCTGAATCCCCCAGTTCTGCACAGTATAGCAATGGGTCCCACCCAGAGGTAGAGGGCACAGCCTGCCCTGCAAGAAACAGGGTCCCAAGATCAGCCTGCCCTGGGGGCTGGGCAGGGGCGAGATGAGAAAAAGCAGGTGGCTGGGGGAAGCCCAGCTCATGGGGCTTCGTGAGTGTCTCCCAGTCTGGGGGCCAGCCAGCTGTTGTCAATGCCTGGACACTTCAGAATACAGGCACTGAGGCAGCCCACGGCAATGGACTTCCTCGAAGGAGAGAGGAACAGGTCCCCTTACGTGACACCAGAGACAAGCCAACATCCTCAGTGCGGCTGTTATCCCAGTGTTTGAACTCCACTGGCTTCCCAGGAGACCATTAGGGGCTGACACAGATCCTCAAATCTTCCAGGCATGCTGGCTGCATGTGTTAATATTTATATGCTCATAAGGATGAGAGCACGCGTGTGTATGTGTGAGTGTGTGTGTGTGTGTGTGTGTGTGTGCGTGTGCGTGCGCGCGTGTGTGTGTGCGCGCATGCGTGCGCATCACAGAAATGGCGTGCTGGTGCTCAGCATCCTGCACTCGGTGTTGCTCTGGGCCACCCAGGCTCACCCATTCCGCTCTGCACTCCTCACGGGCTGAACCTATTCAGCCAGTTCACCATGGACCAACACAGACTCATTTTCCCTTCAATCATATTCTGGGGGGTAGAGAGATACAGCACCAAGTAAGGCACTTACCCTGCATGAAGCCCATCTGGATTTGACATCCAGCACCCACCCTGTATAGTCCCCTAGCCCTACCATGAGTGATCCCTAAGCACAGAGCCAGAGGTAACCCCTGAGCCTATTTTGGGGGGTGATAAAATATGCCCCCCCCCCCGAAGAATCATTTTCTGCTTAACAGTTATCAACATCTCAAACAAGGCAAGTCAAACCTCAAGCGGACAAATGCCGTATGCTTCCAGACATAGGAAGTGTGGAAAGTGTCCAAGATCACAGACACAAATTTTCAAAAAGGTGGTCTGTGAGGGTCAGGAGGACCTTTGGGGGTGAAGAAGGGGGAGAATATCAGTGGGCAGAGACCTTCATTTCTGCAAGACAGAAAGTTCTAGAGATCTGCTTGCAACAATGAAGACATTCTTGCCACTGAGGCCTGTATTAAAAAGGGCTACAGTGGTCAGGTTTTTTTTGTTTTATACCTCCCCCCCCCACACACACACACCTCCTCCAAGCCCCCACAGAATCAAATGGAGACTCTAGACCAAAACATTTTGCTTCTGAAAATGAGTATAAAGAACCCAAAAAGAGTGGAAAAAGGTCAGTTGGAAATATGCACACAAGCAGAACTGAGCTTACCGAGGGGCGAGGGGTGTTAGGAGGGTACGTGAGACAATGGTGGAGGGGCTGAGGGAGCGGGACACTGCATACAGGGTTCATGAAACCCTGTCAGCTGCACTGCAAATCACTAGGCTTCTTAAAATATATGTAGACCAGAGACTGCAGATGGCAGAGGTGTCCAGGTGCTGACCCAGCATGCAGCTGACCCTGTCTGATCCCTGAGAGCACACAGGGTCCCGTGAGCCCTGCCAGGAGTGCTCCCTGATCACAGAGCTGGGGGCCTCTGCTGGACCTCCACGCTGGGCGCCAAGTATGCCCCAACCCCCATGAGTATTATATAATAAATATATCAATATATTTATATACAAATTAATTTCTATTCATTCCTCTCTATATAAGTCAATTGTCATATGAAATATGTAGAAACAGGGAGGAAAACAGAAATAAATAGGAAGATATAAATAAGAAGGAAGATGTGTTAATACATTAGGAACCACCTTTTATTAAGAACTATGAAGCTGTGAAAACCCACACTATACTTTCCTGCTAATGTGCGTGTACCCTCTGGACACACATAACTGCCTGGTAAGATGAAAGAACGTCAATTCACCTTAAATAAAGTGAGTTAAAGACACTCATGTGCTGCTTGGAAGTCACTGAGATCTAAAGTTACACAGAAGTTTGAAAATGTAAAAACGATGAAGCAAGTCAACCAGCCCAGAAGGAAGCGGATGTGGAGAGAACTCTGCAGACCAGGCAAGGCCCATCCTGAGGAAGGACTACTACTAGAGGAATAGGACAGACAGAATGGCCAAAGGGCCAGTGACCCAGAACATGGAACGAGCGACTCCCCAGGCTCCAGGGTCTCCCCATCTTCCAAAGGAACCTGCTACTCTGGCGCACGGTGACTCGTTTCTCAGGGTTCCCAGAACCATGTGGCCATGTGGCCTCACACCTCACTCAGACCTCCCGCAGTGAGCCCCTTGGCCAGTTACTCCAGGCTGACACAGAAACTCATTCCTAGTCCTGTCCACCTACCCCACAGAAAAGCCCTTTGCCAGACTGTGGTGGAAGTTAAGGCATCATGGAACCTGAATTCTAGCCTGAACACAGGAAGTTAGCCAAGAATCCACACCCAAATGCAAAACAACAGACCAGAAACAGCAAAAACGGGACTGACGTGACAGAGCAGTAGGGAGGGCGCTTGCCTTACATATGGCCAACGGGGATTCAATCTCCACTATCCCATACATATGGTCCTTCAAGCCCCATCAGGAGTGATTCCTGAGTACAGAGCCAGGAATAACCCCTGAACATTACTGGGTGTGGCCCAGAACCAGAACAAGAAAAGAAAAAAACAGCAAAAGTTCCCTGGGGTGGGTGCCCCAACAAGGAAGAGAGTGACAGTCATTGGAATCTCTCAGCGAGCTCTCGCAAAGATGCACCAGTTCTGGAACGTCTGAGAGCAAGGGTGATAAAACTACAATCGGAAGCAGAGGGAGCTAGGGCCGGGGCGGCAATACAGCAGGGAGGGTGCTGGCCTTGCATACCAGCAACTCAGGTTCAGTCCCTGGCACCCCCTATGGCCCCTGAATCCTGGACACTGAGCTAGAAGTCCTAGAGCGCCACTGGGTGAGGTCCCCAAAATGAACAAAGCCAGGCGAGGCTCCATGCATTTGCCACGCCATAGGGAGGTAGGTTCTTTGGGCCAGAGCACATGGCGTCCTGAGTACCGCGTGGGGATGCGAGCGCCACCACTTGCCTTCAAAGAGTGGAATGGAGTCGCTGGAAAAGGTGTCCAGGGCCAGGAGGTCCTTCCCATCCTTGGACCCGCTGCGCTTGTGCTTGTGCTTCCGGCGGAAGAAGGACCTGCGGGCGGCCGCAGACAGTGTCTTCGCGGCATTGCTGTCGTCTCTGACCTCGGACATGCTGAGCCTCCTGGAGAATTCTTGGTCCATCCTGAGTCAGGGAACGACAGAGCTGGGAGCGCTGCGGGGACCCGCTCCTGCCTCTTCCTCACCTTGGTGTCCAAGGCTACGCCCCCAGCACTGAGGACCCTGGGACAACCCCTCACAGCATGCCGTGCTCCAGAGCGAGTTGAGTGATGGAAACAAGAGCTGAGGGGGCCTCCCCTTGGACTCAGGGCAGGCGGGAACCCTGGGGTGGGACAGGGAAGAAGACCCTGTGGAGATCCCCCCACAGTACTGAGGGGCCTGGAGGTCATCAACTAAGAAAAAGAAGCCAGTGAGGAAAAGTCACATCCAGCACAACCCCAAACACGTGCAAAGAGGGAAATCCGCAGATGCAGCGAGTAGGACTTCTGTGGCCTAGGACGGTGGGAAATAGATATGGGGGGCGAGCGGGCATGGCTAAAGGGCAGAGGTGCTCCTGATGGGCTGAACACCTCAAAAAAAAATGCTGGTGGCCAACACACCAGCCAATATACACGGACAACGACTCCGCACACTGGGCCCAACTGCCTGGGGGAGAGCTTGAGCCCAAGACATCCCCCCTGAGGTCTGCCCTCTGCATGGGGCACGCGTGTAGGAACAAGCTGGCTGAGACACGCTGGCAGAAATGAAGCAGAGCACCCCCTCGCAGCAAACCCCCCCTCCCCCCCACCCAGCAGGAGCACGTACACGTATTTGCTGGGGATCTGGCCACGCTGCATCTTCTGGGCGTTCTCATCCAGCTGCCAGGCCGTCCAGGAGCCGAAGGTACCCTGTGGCAGCGTGTCCTCCACGTACAGGATGTCATCCTTCTTGAAGCTCAGCTCGTGCTCCACGTCCGTCAGCCGGTCGTACAGGGCCCTGGGCCAGGGATGGGGCATGGGCCAGGTCGGGAGGCTGCCAGGGCCGCATCCCGCTCCATGCCAGGTAGTCTCAAAGGAGGGGCTTCCCAGACAAGGCCAGAGCCACCACCCTCCCTCCTCACACAGGGTGAAAGGCACAGCCCGGCCCTGGCCTCCCCCAACCCACACACACACACACACACACACACGTGAAAGGCCACAGCCCAACCCTGAGCCTCTTTGGCCTCCTTTTCTGAGCCAAGGCCAAGGGTACCTATGGACTGGAAATGCTGAGAGAAGGAGTACTCCCACCCAATAAGGAGGCTCCCTAGAGACCGGACCCCACGGTGTGCAGTTGATCAATGCCTTTATTTCCCTCTGGGGGCCTCGGATCTTAGGGGCTGTGGAGACAACTACACAGCCTTCCCACAAGTCCTTCCAAGGTCCTCCTGACCCCTGTTTCCAGCAAGGCCTGAAGGCACAAACTCGCTGCTAGGTCTGAGAACCTGGGGAGGTCGCAGGGGACCAGGACAGGGGCATGACCCAGAGACATGGGTTTTTGTCACCTTAAATGCTCAACTAAGGATGAATGGACCAAGTAGTTATGGTGTATGATGGAACACTGCTCAGCTATGAGAAAAGACAGAGTCAGACCAATCTGCTGCTATGTGGATGGACCGCAAGTCTTGGCTGAGTGAGGTGAAAGAGGTGGACACAGAATGAGCTCGCGTGTGGGGTCAGGGAGTGACAAACACCCCACGCAATGGAGACTGAGAGCTGGCCTCCAGCAGGGAGCTTGCCACAGTGGGACAGTGCTGAAGGGGAGTGGACACTGGGAGACGGGGAATATTTCATGCACAAACCCAACCATTAGTATTGTAAACCACAGTGAGCAAGAAGTCTATCTACCCATGGGCTCCCGTGGGCTGCAGGAAAGGACTGAGGCCTGAGCTCTGCCGTGACGTGGGGGGGATTGGAGGGCACGGGCGGAATGAAGCCACAGAATGGTCTCCTTTCCACGGGCCAAGACACAGTTACAGGAGGAGCTCAGGACACAGAAACAGAACTAGAGAGCTGGTCCCCAGAATTCTGGGGGACGAGGGGGACGGAGGGGGACAGAGTGGGTCTCTGGGACCTGATGAAGAGAAGGGGCTCCTCTGAAGGTGGGAGGGCACCGGGGTGACATGCAGGAAACCAACATTAGCACCACCGTAGACCACAGCATGCCATAAATCAAAAGCACATAAACCTAAAAATGTTACAGGGCTACAGACGAATCCCCTCCTGGGGCCCCAATCCCAATGAGGAAGCATGACTGCCCGCAGGCCCTCGGGGTTTCTCTACATCACGAGCCTGCAGTTTGGGGGTGCAGGATGGTGCCCCACTCCCACTGCACAGGCAGGCAGGATGTGCAGGAGGGGCAGCTCCCACGATACCTGACGTAGAAGCCGTCTCCAGGCAGCCCCTTGGCCTTGGCGAAGTCCTCGGGCCGATGCTGCACCTTCAGGCGCACCCCGTCCCTGGGCTTCAGCATCTCCACATAGACGTCCTCCACCGTCTTTCTGCGCACGTCCAGGCCTCCGTACTGTCCGGGGGCAGGGGGTAGGGTCTGAAGGGCGGGAGCTGGGGGCACTTGGGCAGCCAGAGGGATGGCGGGGGAGGGGTGTGGTCCTCAGCCCCTTAAGGAGAGGCTCCTGCAGCCCGGGAAAGACCACCTGGGGCCCACAGGCTCTCTTCCCTTTCCTCTCCTCTCCTCTCCTCTCTTCTTCCTCCCCCCCATCCCCCGTCTCTCTCTTTCTCTCTCTCTCTCTCTCTCTCTCTCTCTCTCTCTCTCTCTCTCTCTCTCTCTCATTCCCATCACCAGACACCTGCCCTCCAGCCAACCAGGGCTTAGCCGCTTCCTCTTGGCAGCATCCAGACCCAGCAGGCCAGAGGGGCGGTGCCCAGCTCACCTCCAGAATGAGGTCCCCCGGTATGAGGCCATCGGGGCCACTAGCAGGGCTGTCATCCTCCACGTCGGCCACAAACACGCCACTCAGGTTGCCCCCGCACAGACGCACACCGAGCTCCTGCTGTGCCTTCTTGATGAACACGACCCGGGGCTCGGCAGGCTTCTTGGTGGCATCTCCCAGCGTCCTTTCAGGAGGAAAGAAAGGCCTTGAGTGAGCAGTGGGAGATGAGCAAGAAAACAAGAGGACGGTGGTGGAGGCCACTGCAGCCCACTAGCTGCCCGGGCCAACATGAAGTCGGTGCCCAGAGAGCCCAGGGGAGGCCCCAGATCTGGTCCTGTGAACCCAGCACACAAAGGATGCTGCCAGGCTGGCCCACCCAGGCCCACGAGAGGGCAAAACCAGTACCACTGGCCAGCCAACGTCCACCGAGCAGCTCTAAATCCCAGGGGGCACTAGACACTGACGAGGGGCCCCTCCAGCTCACTCAGCCGTGGAGCCCCATCAGAGCTGGGGGAGCAGGGCAAAGCCAAGGTGCAGGCTGGGGGTGCCTGTTGCTCAAATTGGGGTGACCATGTAGGGGAGGGGAGGCCAGCATGGCCTGGGCCGTCCCCTGCAGTGCTCGGGGCACTGCCGCTCGCTCCTAACAGTGGCCCCCACTGGCAGGCCCCCACTGGCCCCCACTGAGCCAGCACAGCTGGGAAGCAGCACTCAGGAATGGCATCTCGCTGGCTATGTCTGCCCTGTGCTGTCCTCCACGCCGCTCCACCCCCTCCGAAGCCCAGGCTGCTTATCTGAGGCTGCTTGGTTGTGGGTTTGTGCGGGGAAGGGGGGTGAAGGGGAGGGGGGCTGGTAATTCCTGGATGGGAGCTGGGGGTACTCTCCATGGTGCTGAGCAGACTGTGCAGTGCTGAGGGTCAGGCCGGGGGCCCCCTGTGCAGCCTATGCTTGGTGCTGGCCTCCATTCCCAGGAGCTGGCAGTGCCCGTAGCCGGCCCCAGGCCCCACACCCATCTCGTGGGTGACATCCACTGCCCAGCAGGGCAGATGAAGCACGAGCCAACGAGAGAGAGAGAGAGAGAGAGAGAGAGAGAGAGAGAGAGAGAGAGAGAGAGAGAGAAGTGGGGAGGGGAAAGACAAGGGGCTATGTCCAGATCCCCAGAGCAACCCCATCCAGGCAGAAGGACACAGAGCTCTCTCTCGGCCAGCCTAAACATGCACTGACCTGGCGCTGGGTGTGCTCTGCTTGGCTGGGGGGGTGCCCGGGCCCTCATCTTGCTCCATCAGGGGGTCGATGAGGGACGGATGGTCTGGGATGGTGGCACCGCTGCCCTGGAGACTGGTGTGGGTGCCAGCAGGGTCCAGGTGGGAGCTGAGGACAGACAGACACAGCCTCAGCCCTCCAGCATCACCCCAGCCTGGGCTGGGCAAAGGGACCCGGGCTCAAAGTTCCGCCCCGGGCAGGACCAGGGGGGGTGGGTGCCGTCTAGCCTGCAAGATGATCCCCAGGGTGGGAAGGACACCACATGATCCCCTGTCCCTTCCTGCCTGCCCCCCTCCCTCCCATGCCATCCCCATGGCCAAGCACAGCTCACCCCGCCCCAACCAGTGGCCACAGACTGGCCTTCCCGGCGGGAGCTGGACAGTGGCATGGAGCCGGTTGGTGCATGTCACTGAGGATGAACAGGGACGCAGTCATCCAGCCACCCCCCTCATCAGGAGGAGACCCCTGCCCTTCCCCCCACCCTGGGCTTGTCCAGCAGGCACCTGGAGCGGGAGTGGCCGGCGCCGCCCAGCTGGTGCATGTGCGGGTTGTACTGGGCCAGGATGGTGACGGTGTCACACTGCTGCCCGATGATGAGCCGTGCCTGCTGCTCCGTGGCACTCCGCAAGTTGATGCCATTGAACTGGGGGCACACGCAGCCAGGATTCAGGGATCCTGCAGGCGCCAGGCTTTGTGGGGGCGGGGGGGGGGCGGCGCTGGGTCATGGGGGACGGGGAGGCAAGTTCTGGGCTGTTGGGGGCACTGGGGCATGGAGGGCACTGGCAGGGAAGCCAAGTCACAGCAGGTTCCGGGCCACAGGGGGATGCTGTGGGGAGGGAGGCAATGGGGCGCTTGGGAGGCCAGGCGTGGGGGCTCGCGCACAGGCTGGGAAGGGGCACTGGAGGAGAACGGAGGAGCCGGGGGAGGGGCGCCCCCTTACCTCCAGCAGTTGGTCCCCGTACTCCAGGCCGGCCTGGTGGGCGATGCTGCCCCCTGTCACTTTGGACACATAGACGCCACCCTTCTCCCCACTCACGATGGAGATACCCAGAGGCTCTGCGCCCTTCTGCAGCTTGACGTGGCGAGGCTCCTCCATGTAGGGCCTGGAAAGGAAGTTCGAGGTTGAGGGTCCCACAAAGGCCACGGGCAATGCCTCGGACCCAACACGTCACCAGCCAAACAGGGGTGGAGAGGGTATCAACCCTGTCACTCCTCACACACCCTGTCCTCTACACACACACACACACACACACACACACACACACACACACACACACTCTCCTCACTCCTCACGCACACCGTCCTGCACCTCACATGTTAGACATTAACCCCAAGTGTTTTAGGCTACATCAGTGAATTGCCCTTTTCCTCCTCCCAAAGAAACTTACAATGCTCTTGTGAGCATCCCTAATCTCCTGAGTTTATCTTGAACCTTTCCTTTATGTTTTATACCTCATTGTCACAGTTACCCAAGTCAACCTTGGTTACTTATAAGCCAAAACATTTTGGTAATTCAGGATTTTATATTTGTAGTGAATATGAATTACTTGCTTTCTATTTCCCCAAAGGCCTTTTCATATTTTACTATAGAGCAATGTGTTCATTGTTTAAATACAGAAAGACAGTTAAGGCTGTGCTCCGAATATGTGGGAGTTGATTTACTCTGAAATATATCTACTTCTGAGAATCAATCATAATTACTTGACTCAGGCTTCAGTTGCTGTAGTTCCTAACACCCAAAAAGGGAGGTCCCACCATGGGACTGGGATGGACCCAGGGCGAGTGGCAAAGCTACCCTGGCATCGAAATGGGATAGTCTAGAAAGCATAAATGCATGGTCTTGGTGTTAGCTGTTATGACTTAAGAGACAGGACCCCCATGGGGAAGTACAAGCTGAACTGGCCTGAGGACTTAGTCTGGGATTTATGGCAAACGCCTTACTTGCTCTTGGAGAACTAATAGCCCAGAGAACGAAGTTTGGGATCTCTACCTCTAACTGAGTTTATCCAAACAACTGCAAGTATTGGTAAGAAGTTGACTTAATTGTTTGACTGACTGTTTGACTAATTGTTCGACTTGTTATATACATATATATATGTATGTGTGTGTGTGTGTGTATATATATATATATATATACATATATATATATATGAAAGAAAGAAGCAGTATAGATGTCCCTGGGAGACAGAGCATCTCCTTGAGTTAATCTCCCCCAGAGAATTGCCTCTACCAGAATGTTTTCCCTCTGTAAATGATCAGTCACACGGATATGCAGTCCTATGCCTCTGACCCCCTCAGATATCCTATAAGTATGTTAGCAGTTCTGCATTAAATGGGTCATTTTCACCATCAGGTTATGGTCCCCGTCTCTGTCTCTCTGCTGGGAAGGGCAGAAGGTGGCTCTCGGCCACTGAACGTGTGCATCACACAACACCCACACACTTTGTCAACTCACACCCACACACCCTGTCCTCTCCCCTTATATACCGTTCTCACTCCTCACACACCCTGTCCTCGCTCCTCACACACAGCCTATCCTTCTCCTAGCCACACACCTGCCCTCCCTTCCATCTTCCAAATCTGCTCTTGCCAATCACAGAGCAGGGAACAGCAACTACAGCAGCCACTGGACGGACAGAGTAAAGCAACCAAGAATGGCACCATCAGGACACAGGCAGAGAGAGACACAGTAGGCCCTAAGGCTGCCAGGGGGCCACCCTCCCACTGCAGGGACTGTGATCCCTGCTGTGTGGCCCTCCTCTCCAGGGACCCCCAGATGCCACGTGCACCTGTGCCCAACAAGTCTCTACAAGGTTGTTGCCAAAACATGGACCAGCAGTGCCCCAAGGACAGTGGATCTGAGATGATTCTGACATTTTTTTCTCTCAAATGATCTTATCTTTCAATGATATGCACAAATACTTTCTCGGTGCAATATGGTTGCTTTGTAAAAAGTGCTTAAAGTACACTTCACACTAACAGAAACAGAAGAATGCCGGGAAAGCACTGTGTCTATTGAAATCTAGGCATTGGGCTGGAGAGATGTTTGTCTTGCAGGCCACCGGCATCGCACAAGGTCCCCTGACCCTTGCCAGGAATGATCCCTGAGCACAGAGCCAGGAGTTTAATCCTAAACACTGCCGATGTGAAACATTCAGATTCTGATGGGATTCTCCTGAGTACAGCCTCCCCATAGGGGCCTTCCCGGCTGGAGGCTACCATGGTGCTCTGCGTTCACTCAGTGGATAGCAATAGGTGAGCTGCTTACAAACAAACAAAACACTGTCCTCCGGTTGTTCTTAGATTTGCTTGAGCGGGCTCAGTAACGTCTCCATTTTGAGATTTGTCTCCACTTTGAGACTTGTTGCTACTGTGTTTGGCATATTGAATATACTCTCGGTAGCTTGCTGGGCTCTCCGAAAGGGATGGAGGAATCGAACCCAGCTCGGCCGGGGTTGGCTGCACACAAGGCAAATGCCCTATCACTGTGCTATCGCTCCAGCCCTTACAAGTGCTTACAAGTGCCACAAAGAAAGGCAAGAAGGAGCGAGAGGGACAGCAGGGAGAAGAAGTGGGTGGTCGGTAGAGGACATGGCACAGAGTATGTAGGTGTGAAACCCGATCATGAACAGAATTATAAATCATGGCACCTGAAATGACACGCTATGCAGAGACAAGGTCAAGTCTTAATTCAGTCTCCCGCAGAGCTCTGAGCTGGAAGTCTGATCTAGACCCTTGGAAGAGCAAAGGGTGCAGATGAGGTGAGCACAGAGCAGGTGGTGGGGACCCCCTTTGGCCTGAAAACCCAAAACGTCCCCAGAGACAGGTCACATGGAGCGGGCGTGCAGGAAAGCCACAGAGCCACAGCTTGTCTATGTACACTTCCTTTCACGAGAAAACATCACCCAGGGAGCGGACAGGACAGGGCAAGGGCTGGAGAGACAACAGTGGGGTTAGGGTGCTGCTGTGCACGCGGCTGACCAAGTTTGATCCCCAACACCCCGTAGGGTTCCCAGGGCCCCTTCAGGAATGATCCCTGAGCGCAGAGCAAGGAGTCAGCCCTGAGCACCGCTGGGCAACTCAGGGCTGAAAGCGAAGGTAAGAGTCTAACTGTGGGGGTGAGTCACTGGACACATGACCACAGCTCCAACTCTGGCCTCACTCATGCACCTGTACAAAGAAGACAACAGTGTCCCTGCAGGAGCTCCTGGTCCCCACCATGGCCATGCTTTGTGGAGACCTGGAAGCAGCACCGGGGCCCCTCCATCCCCCTAGGGCACTGCTGTCCCCTGACGGGCCCACCTACCTCCCACTTTGCCATTTAAGCACCACGTGCCCACAGGAGCCTCGAGTGGTTGTGTGGGGTGGGGATGCAGGGGGACACTGGCCAGTACTCGGTGACCCCATGAGAGCCTCCTGGGACGACCCTCAACAGCTCTGGCCGCCACCACCATGCTCACCTGTCCTTCCTCCGATCCCCAAGGTTGACAGCGACCCTGGGCATTGTGGAGGCTGACGGCTGGGCGCAGGAGGACAAGGTGTCCACGCTCATGGGTGACTGCGGCGGGGTGCTGCACTCGGAGTGTGACAGGGAGCCTGTGGGAGAGGCAGGATGACAGGCCCGGCCCCCACATCAGCAGGCCCGCCATGGCACCTGGGACAGGGGGCGAGTCACAGCCACCCAAGGGAGGAGGCAGCAGAAGTGCCTAACCTCGGTCAGAGCCCACAACAGAGCGTGGATACCGGGGCGTGGATGGGATCTTGATGCGCTCCGTCTTGAACTGCAGGTTGCAGGAAGACCCTGTAGTGCCCAAAGGGACAAGCTGAGGCCGCAGCACACCCCTCAGCCCTCCGCCCAACCCATCCACCACTGCCTCAGAGCCGTGATGAAACAAAACAGGGACCCGCCACTTCTCCCGGAGCCTCAGCAAGAGAAGCAGCCCCAGTCTCCTGGCACTCAGACGCGGGACATGGGCCAGGGCAGGGGGCACGGCTCCCCTACATCCCCAGAAATGCCCCCCACCCCATCCCCAGTAAATCAGAGCAGCACAAACCCTGAGATGAGCAACCAGCTCAGGGACCGGAAGCCCCCAGGGAACACTGAGAGGAGACGGCCACAGAAGCCAAAGGCACGACTGACAGCACAGGAAGGCTGGGAGGCCCATGGCGGGGTGCGGGGAGCAGAGGGAAAGCTGAGGGGTCAGGCCGCGTTACCCAGGCGGGCGCTGGAGGGCAGCGAGTTGGACCCATGGGAGGTTCTCATCTCTGAGCAGTCGCCACAGGCTCTGCGGCTCAAGTCCAGGCTCAGCCGTCCCTGGTGCTGGACACTGCAAGGAGCAGAGCGGAGTGAGCTAGGGGCTGTCCAGGGCAGGAGGTAGGCGGCCTTGACTGCAGGCATCACTGACCAGGGCAGGGACACTCACAGTTGGCCAAGGACAGTGGACAGTCCACGGCACAGAGATGGCGTCCACTGAGTTGCATGCCCAGGGAAGGACTGAGCAACTGCCCCACCCCTACCTGGCTCAATGAGAGGAAGGACACATCACAGGGAGGAGGGGAGGACTCTCACTGGGAGGACTCTGCAGGAAGGAGGGGGAGATGCTCACCAGGAGGGGGAGAACTATCACCAGGAGAACTCTGCAGGGAGGAGGGGAGGACTCTCACTGGGAGGGGGAGGACTCTCACCAGAGAACTCTGCAGGGAGGAGGAGGAGGGGAGACTCTCACCGGGACGGGGAGGACTATCGCCAGGAGGAGAGGAATCACAGGGAGGGGGGCACTCACAGGGAGGAGCAGACTCCTCCAACACCTCAGCAGCCCCAGGGCGAGCCCTCGCCCACTCCCATGGCAAGAAGAGGCTGGGGCAGCCTGAGGAGCCTGGGTGGGACATTTCCTCCCGGGGCAGCAGACCAAGATCCCCAAGGCAGGCCAGCCACTGGCCCAGACATGACCTCTGCAGTGGGGGAATGAGACCAAGTTTCTCCCTCTCACACAGGCTGAGTCCCCTGGCCTGCGCCCCTCTGTCGCACCGAGCCCTGCCCAGCTGACCCTCTATCCCTGGGGCCAGTGCACTGTGTCCAGATGCCACAGCACCGTCCACTTGCCCTCCGGAGGCCGTGCCCAGGACTGGCAGCTAGCTTGGTTTCAGCTTCTGTCCCCCCGCCCCCATCGCAGCTTGTCTGCTGCCCTGTGCCACAGTCCTTGACTGTGTCCCTTCATGCCCCAGAGGCAAGGGTGGGCCTCACACATACCTGGACTGCAAACCTGGGGGCCCAACCTCCCTGGGCACGGGCGGAGAACTGCAGGGGCCTGCCCGGTGGCTGCGTGCAGTGGAGATGGGGTTCCTCAGGATGGAGCTCATGGTGGCACTGGGGGCCAGACTCCGAGGGATGGTGCCTGGAAACAGGCAAGGTGAAGACCGTCCCCCAGACACCCCTGGACCTGGGCCAGCCCCTCCCGCAGGCATCAATCGGAGGGGTGACGCCAGGGATGGTACCCACGGACCCCAGCCTGGAAGAACATGCTGGGTCAGTGGGTTCTATCCCTGGCCTGCTCTGGAAGGTCCAGGAGAGTGCAGGCAGGGCCGCGGCGGCACCTGGGGGCCTCTGGGCCCACAACAGGCGGCTGCTCCCTGGACTCATCCTCCCGCCCTCCCAGTCCCGCACACTCACCCATGGACGGCCTGTGCGGGTAGAGGGGTGTGTTGCCGTGGCGCCCGGAGTGTCCGGGTGAGTAGGGCGGCCAGTCCTGGGGTTCTGGGGAGCACTCCCCACAGGCAGGGCTGTGCTTCTGCTCCTGTACGACCGAAGCAAGAGGCAGGGGCTGCAAATGGGGACCCACGGCCCTTGCCCTCCAGGGCCCCTGGGGCAGGTCTGCTCACGCACAGCCGTCCCGCACGGCTAGGGAAGTCCCAAGGCCTTATAGACGAGTTTGGAGGAAACCACAGAGCCAAAACAGACTCAAGCTCTCTGAGATGCTGAGCACCTGGCCCTGACGGGCATCCTAAAAGCTGCCTCACTCTCTGGAAAGGACCAACGAGCCCCTGGTCATGCCCTCCCCAGAGCCACATGTGCTCCCCCACCTTCCCTGCCACCTCAGGGGGCTCTGCAGACGCTGGGGTCTGCCGTGCAAAGCCTTCCCTACAAGAAGCACAGCAAGGGACCAGAGAGACAGAAGAGCAGGGCAGACCTTTGTCTAGCACGAAGCCGACCCGGATTTGATCCCCAGCATCCACATAAGGTCCCCCCTGCCCTGCCAGTAGTGATCCCTGAGCACAGAGCCAGGAATAAGCTCTGAGCACTGTCAGTCTGCTAAAAGGTGCTGGAGAGACAGCACAGCGGGTAGATGCTTTGCATGTGATCGACCCAGGTTCAATCCCCAGTATCCCATTTGGCCCACTGAGCCCTGAGCACAGAGCACAGAGCACAGAGCCAGGAGTGAGCCCTGAGTACCTCTAGGTGTGGCCCCAAATAAAGAAAGAACAGCAGGTGGGCATCCCTTGGAACCCACACGCCCCACTATGCTCCTCCCTCCTCAGTAGGGGCTATTCTGCCTGCAGTTAGTGGCCGAGTGCAAAGGTAAGACAGGAGGCAGTCAGCGTGGGGCCACCTGCAGGTACATGGCCCCAGCCGGACCCTACCTCCAGGAACTGGGCAGGGATCACCACCGGCGCCAGCTTGGGCCGGAAACTGGGCGCAGACTTTGGGCGGCGGCGCTTCTGGCCCAGCTCGTCCCCCTTCTGGGAGGTGAGGTCCTCGTCGCATGACTTCTTGGCCGGCAGGTAGGCGGCATCACCGTCGCCCTCTGGGTAGTAGCTGGAGGCAATGTGGACCCTGGCCTTGCGATGGGGGGAGGCGTGCATGGGCTCTCCAGGGTCTGTGTCAGGGGGCAGTGCGCCGGGCGGGCTGGTGGACGGAGAGCTGCCCACCAGCGTGGCCTCCGACTCCGAGCTGGTCTCCAGTCGCTGCTGGAACTTCATGGAGTCGCTCCTCCGGGGGGGCTTGGGGGGCGTCGGGGGCCCCGACCTCCGTGTGGGCTGGGGGGAACGGGCAGGTCCGGGTGCGGGGAGCAGGTACTCAATCCGGGATGGGGTCTGGGGACGCTGGAAAGTGTTGGGGTCGAAGATGGACTTCCTCTGCTTTGGCTTCTTGTATACAGACAGTTTCTCGGGCCGCGCCGCTGAGCTGAGCACGGCCTTGGGCCAGGTCCCGCCTGTGCTGGCGCTCTCGGGCTCTATCTTGTCCAGGGGGGCCTCTGCTGCCCCGTCTGCCTCGAAGGGCAGCAGTGGTCGGCGGCTCCGCGCATCCGCCAGCCCGTAGCCACGGTCCCCCGAGTTGTCAGAGGGGAAGGAGGTGAGGCTGTGCTCAGAGGCGCTGGGGCAGGCCTGTGGGGACACGGGGAAGGGCGCCCCGGGGAATGGGCTGTGCAGGAAGGCGCTGCCATCCGCTGGTGGCCCCAGCTCCTTTCTCTCCTCCAGCCTGTCCCCAGGGAAGAGCTCTGTCTGAGCGGGGCTGCCAGGTTGTAGCCCACCCCGTCTGGGCGGGCACTGTATGTCCGGCCCAGTCGCCCGGAAGCTCAGCATTTTCTCAGAGTCCTTGATAGTTTCCAGGATGTTCTGGCCACTCCACGAGGTGCTCTGCGGGAAGACCTGGGGCAGGGGGACACAGAGGCAAGAGCGGGCAGGTGAGAGGGCAGGGCCCGGGCTGCACAGCACCCTGGTTGGTCAGGGAGGTCAGCAGCGCCTCCACCCCAAGGACAGGCATACTCCCAGAAACACTCTAATTCTCCCAGAATCCACAGTGCCATGCAGGGCTCCTGCTCTCTGAGCATCTCTGTTACCACCCAACGCCCTGCATTCCTTAACTGATTAAACAGGAAAGATAGCACAGTAGGGAGGGCGCTGGCCTTGCGCTGTGCTGACCTGGGTTTGGTCCCCAGCATCCCAAATGGTCGCCCAAGCCGTACTAGGAGTGATTCTTGAGTGCAGAGCCAGGTGTAAGCCCTGAGCACTGCGCCAAGTGTGGCCCAAAGATTAAAAAAAAAAAATCCAAATAAGGAAGGTAGAGAGAATGCAGTGAGGCGGGCGCTTGCTCTAAACACAGCCAACCTGGGTTTGATCCCCAGCACCCTGTATGGTCTTTCAAGCATGGCCAGGAGTGATGCCCAAGCACAGAGCCAGGAACAACCCCTGAGTGCTGCTAGGTGTGGCCCAAACGCACCCTCCCCATCAAAAAAAAAAAAAAAAGAAAGAAAGAAAAAAAGAAAAAGTAATATACAAACAATTCATGTCACTTCTATACTTCTATCAACTTTAGCATGTGGTTCCACAAAACAGGCCTTCCTGAAATCCAAAATCCAGTCTCCTCTCTGAAATCCAAACACCCAAGAAAGTGGGTAATTCCCTAAGACCTATCCAGTCCATATTCAAATGACCCAACGGTCCCCTTCCCAGTTGCTTTTCTGATTGGTCTGGTCCATGCGTGCCTGGCCCTTGGTTCATCAGTACGCTCTCCCCAGAGATACCGAGGCGCAGGCTGGGTCACCGTGGGGGCAGGGACCGACCTTCAGGAGAGACAGCGTCAGGGAGTCCTGGCAGCTGCGCAGCAGAGATTCACACTCGCTCAGAGACTTGTTGTCCAGCGCGATGCCATTGATCTAGGGTCAGAGACAGCCCCCGCAGCCTGTGTCAGACTTGGGCCTGGTTTTCTGAGGGTCCAGCGCCCGCCACTGGTGAAGGAAATGAAGTTCCTCCCCAGTAAGGCCCAAAGACTGAAGTCAGGCAGCTCCTGAGGCAAGATGACACAGAACCCTAAATGACACATTCCCAGGTCTGGTGCCAGAACCCAAGTTTCTGGAGGAACATTCTGGCCTGGCTGCTTGCCAGTAAGTAATGCTGGGCCATGGCTTAAATGGGGAATAGGAAGACGGATGAAGAAAGAGAAAGGAGGGGGAGGAGAAAGAAGAGACAAGGATGAGAAGGAGAAGAAAGAAGGGGAAAAAAAGAGATGGACGAGGACCAGGAAGAGTAAGAATAAGAAGCAGTAGCTGCAGCCATAGCTAAAAGGGCTGGATCACTTGCTTTAGCACCATGAGGGTCCCCAAGCACTGCTGGGAATGGCCCCAAAATAAAAATAAAATATATTCCGTTTGTGGAATATGAAGAAACAAAGCAAGGGAACATATGGTGGTCAATGGAAACAAAGCCTGAGATATTGGTAACAGAACTTAGAACTGAAAGGGTACTAAGGGGTGAGGGGACCTTGAGACAGAGGAGCAGTAGTGTGTATATAAGGGTGGTGGATGGGCCACGAGACAGAGGTGCAGGGTATGTGTCACAGGCAGTTGTCCAGCGCGATGCCATTGATGGGGCTATGAGACAGGGGGAAGGGGATGCACATATGGGTGGTGAATGGGCCACGAGACAAGTGTAGGGGTGGGTAAGGAGGGTGTTAGATGGGCCATGAGACAGAATGCGGGGGTAAGCACATACAGGTGGTGGATAGGCCACGAGACAGAGACCCTGAGCCCCATCTAAACATCAAACCAAACCAACAGGCTGACACCAACAGGAAAAAGAATGGCTGTAGGTAAATACCTTAAAAGAGGGTCTAAGCTACAACACATTGGGTAGGGCACTCGCCTTCCATGAGGCCAACCTGGATTTGACCCCGGCACCCCCAGTGGCCCCCAAGCTGTGTAAAAAGTGATCCCCGAGAGCAGAGCCAGGAGGAAGCCCTGAGCATCAACAGATGTGGCAAAAAAAAAAAAATGCCAAAAAACAAAAAGTCAAGGAGCTTGTCCAGCAGGTACAGCGTTTTTGTGCAACCGACCCACGTTCAATCCTTGGCACCATATAGGGTTCCCAGAACCCCTTCACGAGTGACCCCTGAATACAGTTAGGGGTGGGCCCGAAGCCAAAAATATAAAAACTAAAGTGTCTCCATAGATGATTTTTTCTTTCCTACCTCAACCGGTTTCCTCATTTTCTAGCCAACAGAACACCGCAGGGAAGTGCAGAAATAAAAGTATGCCTGGGCGCTGACCAGCACTGTCCAGACCAGGCCACATGCAGCCACCACGCACGGCTTCCGGGGGACACTCCCAGCAGCCGGATGCTGGCGAACACTCACCGCCACAATCCTGTCCCCCACAGCAAGGGAGCCCTCCTTGGCAGCCGGACTTCCGGGCACCACGGCCGCTGCGTACACTCCATTCTCCAGGCTGATGCCACTGTCTGTGAACCAAGAGCAAGCGTGCGGCTGTGACCCTGGGCACCGGATCCCCGGGATCCCACCTGAACTTCACGAGCTGAGCTTGGTGAAAAGAAAACACTAGCAGATGGCACCGGCACGCCCGTGTCACCCTGCCCGGGCACCTGCCCCACCTGCCGAGTCAGACCCCTCCACAGCCCCATGAAACTCAGTTCCTGTGGCCCCCCCATGCTCGCACCTTTCTGTCCCCCCAGGCTGATGTGCAGCGGTGTGACCGCCTTCCCGCCCAGGGACTTGCGTCTCCGCACCACCATGTTGATGGCGCCCCCGCTGTGCAGCAGGGCCCGGAGAGCCTGCTTCCTGTCCTTGTTCACGAGGTCCACGTCATTGATCCTCAGCAGCCAGTCGTTCACCCTGCAGAGAGGCACGTGACCCCACAGGTCTGGGTGCAAGATTATTCCACCCGGCCCCCATCTGGTTCCAGTCCTAGCCAGCCAGCACTGGGAGCTGCTCTGGGGCCTCCCGTGTCCTCTGCATGGCAGGGACAGTGACCTCAGGTCTGCGGGTGAGCGGATCAGTCACCACTGGTGCAGGTGAGCACAGTGCGGGAGCCCGGCAGACACCGCGGGCATACCTCAGCACAGCATCAAGCCCGTCCCGGTTTCCCCCATGGTCCAGCCATATCCTCCCCCACATGGAGAAGCAAAGGCAGTGCCTGGGGACGAGCGAAGACAAGCCACAGGTCGGTGTAACCACACCTGGAGCCCCACACACAAGGGCTCTGCCCAGTGAAGCTCTCAGCGTCTACAGCACACTCACCGTAAGCGACCATCGGCAATGCTGCCTTTGTCCACCTTGGTGACAAATATCCCACAGTCCCCTGGCAGACACGGCTCATTCACGCCTTCAGCCATATCAAACCCCAGGGTCTCTGGGTCCACGTCCTCCTGTCAGGGGACAGAGAGAAGCGCACACTTCAGCAGGCAGTGAGAGGCATCGGACTCCCTGTGTGCAAGAGCTGGTCACCCCAACGTGGGAGTCACCCCTCTGCCATGTCACAGGAGCACAGAGCCCTGGGCAGCCGCAAGGTGCCGCTGGACACGTGCCTGCCAGCACCCGTCCCCACTGTTCTGCTCATTCTTCACCTTTCCCGTCAGCCCCGGCACAGGGAAGGGCTGGCGTGGGGGAAAGGGCCACAGGAGAGTGAACCCGTCATCGGCAGCCCAGGAGGAGGGCAGGGGCAGGGCAGAGTCACAGCGAGCTCACCGTGTCCCGCTCAAGCTCCACCACCTCCGTCTCCCACTCCATGGAGTCGGTGTCGATGGCCGAGTCGTGGGAGCTGTGGGCCAGCAGCTGCCGGAAGCGTGCCTCCTTCTCCAGCTGGGACTCCATCTGCTCCCTGCGGACAGGCCCGTGTCTGAGGCTCGGGAGCGGCCCTAGCAGGAGTCTCCCCCTGCTACTCACAGGTGCCTCCCGGGTCTGGCCAGGCTGAGCAGAGACGCTGCCCCCCGCGGGGCCTGGCTTCCCCTGTGTCCACCCTCAGTTAACAGCTCTCAGTGCCACACACTCGAAGCTGTCCCATGAGTCCACGGGATCCACAGACAGAACCCCACCTCCTGATGAGCCCGGAGGGTCTGGGTGGCCCCTTCATTCGACTCCACCCTCAGGAGACTCGCCAAGGTGGGTCCCGGCGGCCTGTGTCTGACCCAATACCCCGGGGTTCCAGGAACTTACTGAACAGCTGAAAATGTCTGGGGAGGGCTGATGGGGGCCAGTGGAAGGAGAGGATGGGGACCCACACACAGTCTCAGTCACCCTCATACTCAGTCCCACTCACAACCACTTAGTCACACACATGCACATTCAGTCACACACACACTCAGTCACACAGTCACTCACACACACACACATTCAGTCACCCTCACAGTCACTCACACTCACCCTCATGCTCACACTCACACACCGTCACCCTCACACTCACACATCCTTAGTCACCCTCATGTTCACAGTCACACTCAGCCTCACAGTCAGTCACACTCACTCTCGATCACCCTCCCACTCATACAGTTACTCACTGTCACCCGCACGCTCACACACACTCAGCCACATATTCACACACTCTCAGTCACGCTCACTGTCATACTCACTCTCAGTCACACTCAGTCACACACTCTCAGTCAGTCACTCAGTGACACGCACACACTTATTCTCAGCCACAGTCACACATTTAGTCACAGGGTCGCTCACACAGTCACATGCTCGCACTCACACTCATATATTCCATCATACTATCATACACACTCCCTCAGCTACACACACTGTCACACTCTCACACTCATACAGTCACAGTCACACACTCGCACACTCAGTAACACTCACTCTCTCACACTCCCTCACAGGCACCAGCCTCTCTGGAGAGCAAAGGACAGTGCTGCCAACGTCTCTTTGTTTTAGCTCTTGATTCTCCCCTCGCTGAGCTACGGAGCTAAGAGCCAGCCTACCTCACGGGTCAGTGATTAGGACCCTGGTGACAGGGTCCCCTCGAGCACAGGCCACATTAGTGGCGCCACGCCCCGCCCCACCCCGCCTGGCCCTAGCCCCGCCCCTGGCCCCACCCACCCCGCCCACCTCTGGCCCCGCCCCTGGGAGCTGGCCCCGCCCCTGAGTCATGACCCTGCCCCGCCCCTGGCCCCACCCCGCCCCGCCGGCCCCTGGCCCCTCCCCACCACCTCTGGCCCCACCCCTGGGCCCTGGCCCCGCCCCTGAGCCCTGGCCCCGCCCCCGAGCCCTGGCCCCGCCCCACCCCGCCCCTGGGCCCCGCCCACGTACTTGAGCTCCTTGAGCTCGCGGCTCACGTCGTTCTTCTGCTTGCGCGTGTCGTCCAGGCTGCGCAGCGCCTCGGCCAGCTCGCTGACCGCGCGGTCCCGCTCCCGCCGCAGGTTGTCACAGAGGTTCCTGGGGCGGGCACGGGGGTCAGGGGCCCGGCACGGAGGGTCCTGGTCCCGCACCGGCAGCAGACACGGGTCCCACGCCCTCCCGGCTCCCAGACCCTCCTGCAGGCTTCCCAGGTGGACTGCACCGCGGTGGGGCGGGGGAGGCAGGCACCAGCCCGCCCGGAGGGGCACCCCACAGGGCCGCTGGGGACGCACCGGATGCTGTCCCGCTCGGCCACGATCTTGTCCCGCTCCTGGAAGGCCCAGTCGCGCCGGCACTTGGCCACGTCGGCCTCCTGCAGGGCCTCCTTCAGCTCCTGGCACAGGGCCCGGCACTGCTTCCGGAGGGTCTCCGCCTCCTTGGTGGCCCTCCCAGCGTCCATGGTCACCGTATCCTTGATCTGGATGGAGGGCAGACACGGGGTGGGTGGTCACGGGGTCTCAAGACCAGGACAGAGGAGGGAGTCCAGCCGCCTGCGCACCAGCCTCCCAGCCCCAGCCCAGCCTCCAGTGCTGGGGGTCAGGGTGGATTCAGATCCCCGAGCCCCACAGAGCAGCCGGGACGGTGCCCCCAGCGCTGGTCCTGCTCTCGCCCATCTCAGTCTCTCCCACCACAAGTGGACTGGGGCCACTGGCCAGCTCAAGCCACAGGACTCGGTGCTGAGGCCCCAGCACGGGGCTCCCTGCTCCACACAGACCCGTCTTGCTGGTGACATCCTGAGTGCCTCAAAAGCAGGAACTAAACATCTGTACCCCAACTCAGCCCAAGCACTCTGGGCGCCGTGCAGACCCCCAGAGTCCCAGAGGCAGTCAGCAGAAAGTCCTGGGCCAGGAACAGCCCCCTGGCCTGGCCTGTGCCCACTGGGTTCCATCTCCAGCACCCCCTAGGGTGCCCCAAGTCCTGGCAGGAGTAACGCTTGAGTGCAGAGCCAGGAGGAAGCCCTGAGCACTGCTGAGTATGGCCCCCTGGGCAGGGTCCTTTGTGGCCGGCACCCTGCTAAGCTGTGGGGAAGGACTTCTACCCTCGCTGGATGGAGCCTGGTGAGTGCCCCCAAAGCACTCCCACCCCACCCAGCCTGCGGCAGGCAGCCAGCTGGCAGCTCTCAGACACATCAGAGGTGAGAAGGGAGAGGACTGTGCCCCACACATTCAGAGGAGGCTGAGCCCAACCTCCCCCCCCACCACCACCACCAGCCCTGCTGCTCTGCCATGGGCAATCTGGGGGCAGGGCGGCGACAAGCAGAGGGAGGTGGCAGGAAGGGGAGAGGCCAGGGAGGCTGGGAGCCTGGACCAGAAGGGCAGAGCAGACAGGCTGGGGTCCCCAGGGCCCCAGTCAGAGGCCACTGCTGTGTCCAGGACTCTCGCCAGACCCAGCTCAGGGTCTGGAAATGCGGGGTGGCCGGGGCACTTCTCTGCCCTGCAGCTGCCCACCCAGTGCCCCTGCTGTGCCCCCGATGCAGTTGCAGGAGTCACCATGTGGCACATGGCTGTGTGCTGGGCTCAGCCCCCGCTGCTGCCTCCCACGGGCTATGATGCCCGGTGCTCCCACACAGCATGCCCTGAAGGGCTGCACCGGGGGCTCCTGGGACTGCAAACACCCGCCCTGAGGGTCTGGCTCGTACCCAGCCCTCTTCTCTTCCCAAGCTGGTTGGTGTTGGTCCTTAGCCCAAGAGCCAACATCGCAGCACAGGGGAGAACAAGGTGTGGCCTTTCCTCGGACCGTCACCGTCAGTGGCCCCAGAATATTCCGAGAGGGCCACCAGGGTGTGTTTGGGGGACCAGGGCCTGAGGCGAGGAGGCCCACTAGGAGAACAGGGGTGGGGGGGTGGGCACGAAGAAGGAGCACTGCTGAAGAGGCCACGGTGGAAGAGGGGTGGGAATCCCGGCCCTCCATCTCACTCTCGGCCAGTCCTACACCAAGTCTCACAGACATCTGCTTTCACCAATCAGGGATTCCCTTCCCAGCCTGCCTCTGTGGCCGCCTCCTGACCCCTCTGCAGGAAACGGCCGCTATTTAGCGCTCTTTTTCCTTACAAAAGCAGTTTCACAGGGTCTTCTGGACCCTGACAGAAGACAGACTCCAGTGGACATAGTGGACACTGGGACTGGTCACAGGGGGGCTCAGGGTAAAGCCTCAGGTTCTCTCAAACCCAGCGGGATGGGAACTCCCTCCCACCTGGCCCCAGAAGGAGGCAGAGGCACACTCGGTGGGGGGTGGTCAGTGCAATCCCACTGGCCCAGCCCCAGGCCTGCCTCCGGGCTTCTGGGCTTCCTGAGTCCATGGAGACACAGGCCTCAGCTGCCCCAGGCTCGGCCTGGGGGGCTCCCATGCACCCCCCCCCCCCCAACCTGCTGAACCTCCTCTAAGTCTCAGGGCCCATCCCCAGGACCTGCTTTCCCAGCACAGCTCAAGGGCTCAAGGGAGCAGTGGGGGACAGCCAGGCCTGATGCCCAGCAGGTGGGGGGGGGTGGTCTCTCAGCAGAGGGAGCTCCCAGGCTTCCCAGGACTCACAGGGTACACTCTGGGGTGTGGCGGTGAACTTGGAGCCCGGGAGACCCTCAGGCGGACTCCGGAACTCCCATGCAGTGCTGGCTCATCCATAACAGCTCTGGACGGCCTCTGCACGACCTACAGTGTCAGCTGTCCAGATCAGCCTGTGAGCAGCCTGGGGACAGCCCCTGGGGATGTGCTCCACCCTGCAAAAAGCAGCCCTGGGCTATCTCCCCACTGGCTCCAAGCGAGACTGAGAGAGGCTTGGCCCTGGCCACGCGCCCCACCTCCCCAACCTGCACTCCCAGTTCCGAGCACCAGCAGCACAGCTGCCCTGCAGGACTGGCCCTGGCCAGCAGGGGGTGGGGCACACCTGCCGCAGGGCCTCCATCTCCTCACTGGCCGCCTTCTTCTCCGACGTGCTGTTCTTCAGCTTGGACTCGGCCAGCTCCACCTCGGTCTGCAGCTTGTCCAGCTCTGAGATGACTTGGTCCCGCTCGCTCATGATAAGCTTGTACTCGCTGTACACGGCGTCGCGCTCCTCCTTGTACTTCTCCGACTCCTTGGCCGTCCTCACCTGGGTGCTCCTGAGCTCGGAGAGCTCCGACTGTAGCAGCTCCATCTCCCACTGCATGTCCTTGTTCTGGGCCGTGGCCTTGCTGAGCTCGTGGTGCACGGCCTCGAACCTGGGGCAGGGACACAGGAGGCTGGGCATTGGGCCGGCCCGCTCGCGTGCCAAGACACTGGGGCGTTCTCACTGCACCCAGCCCACCCCCAGCAGAGAGAAACATCGAATCCTCCGCCTTCTACAAGCGCCAGCGGCCAGCAGTTGAACGGCGAGGACATCGTGCCCTCCGCTCGCTAGATAACGAAGGGTTTCTGCCACCGCCAAGTGACACCACGAAGAATCATACAAAGGCCAAACCGAGAACCTGAGAATCTCAGCACAAGAGTTAAATGGACTCCTCAGAGGCAAGGCCATGTGTGGGTAAAGATGTAGATACCAACGGCACGGGCGGCCAGAAGATCAGAGGGAGAGTGCAGCTGGGCTGCACTTGAGTCCCTGCCTCGACGCTCAGGGTCACTCCCAGGCGCTGCTAAGGGGCCACAGTGCCAGGACGGAACCCAGCCCTCCTGGATGCCGAGCGCGTGCCTGGAGCTCCCTCAGGCCCTGCAGTCCAGCCCAGCACTTCTCCGAGGGCCTGGGGGAGCACAGCGGCATGCTGTGAGGGGCCTCAGGCCTTACACTGGCACGTGCGGCCCCAAGCCTGCCCCTGTGTCGGCTCATGCCAGGCACAATTTGGGAGCACCAGTGCCACAAGCCAGTCAGGTACTTGTGAGCACCGGAAAAAGGGGTGCAACCCAGTGAGCACCACGAAAAAAGGTGTGTTGGCACCAAAGCCAGGAAGCACGAAGCCCAGGAACCTTACGGGTGTGAGCATCCCAGCAATCCCCAATGTGCACTCCAACCATCATGTGCGCCAGAGCCACAGCGCCCCCAGTGGGCACAGCCAGGACGTGGGCCAGTGACACAGCACCCCCAGTGGGCACAGCCAGGACGTGCGCCAGAGCCACAGCACCCCACAGTGGGCACAGCCAGGACGTGGGCAGTGACACAGCGCCCCCAGTGGGCACAGCCAGGACGTGCGCCAGAGCCACAGCACCCCACAGTGGGCACAGCCAGGACTTGGGCCAGTGACACAGCACTCCCAGTGGGCACAGCCAGGACGTGCGCCAGAGTCACAGCGCCCCCAGTGGGCACAGTCAGGATGTGCGCCAGTGTCACAGCGCCCCCCAGTGGGCACAGACAAGCTGTGCGTCGGTGCCACGGCGCCCCCAGTGGGCACAACCAGGATCATGTGCGTACCACAGTTCCCCTTCGTGGGCATAACCAGGATCCTGTGAGCACCACAACATCTTCCAGTAGGCACAATCAGGGTATGTGTCAGAGCACCACAGGCCCCCTCCGGCCCCAGTGGGCACAACCAGGATGTGCATAGGAGAACCGCAGCGCCCCCTAGTGGGCCCAATCAGGATTGTGTCAGAGCATTACAGAGCATTACAGCAGCCCCTAGTGGACACAACCAGAAAGAGTGTGCGTGCAACAGTGCTCCCCATGGGGACAACCAAGATGAGCATCAGCTCCAGGATTATGTCAGCTCCTTAGAGCCCCCCAGAGGATACAACCAGAGCACCCGGAATGTGCGTGAGCCCAGCCAAGGCCAAGTGTGAAACCTCCGTGAATACTACCACCAAGGGTGGCAGTGCACATTCATGCACATGCAGCCCCTGACACTGGAACCAGCAACAGCGACAACGAAGACAACAGGCAGGGCAGGGGAATGACGCGAGCTACTGGATGAATAAAATCCTGTGGCTGGGCATGGGCTGTGGGGGCAGGGGGTGGGACCCCGCCGACCTGCGCAGGGAGAGGGCGCACTGGTGCTGCAGCTGGATGGCCGTGTCCCGCTGCTGTGCCAGCATCTCCGTCTGCTTCACCAGCCTCTGGTTCTCCTCCTCCAGTTGCTCCAGCCGGCTCAGGTCGGAGTTGTGGGCAGCCACCTTTTCGCTATAGCGCTTTCGCAGGGCCTCGTAGTCTTTCTTCAGCACCTCCAACTTGTCCATGGCCGTGTCGTACAGCTTGTTGAGAATCTCCGATGACCCGTTGTGCTTTAGCACCTGCAGGGAGAGAAGTGGTGTCCAGAGGGGCCCACGGGCAGGGCACACACCCACCCCGTCCTGGAGCAAGGAAGGCAGGGTCTGGGGTGACTTTCTGCCCGCAGAGAGGATCTCTGCAGTGGGGTGAGCAGTGCACAGAAGCCCGGGGCAACTCTTAAGGGTCTTAAGGGACCATCTGGGGTGCCCGGGCTGGAGTGATAGCACAGGGGGTAGGGCGTTTGCCTTGCATATAGCCAACACAGCCAACCCGAGTTCGATTCCTCCACTCCTCTCGGAGAGCCCGGCAAGCTACTGAGAGTATCTCGCCCACACGGCAAAGCCTGGCAAGCTCCCCGTGACATATTCCAAATGCCAAACACAGTAACAACAAAGCATCACAATGGAGACGTTACTGGGCCCGCTAGAGAAAATCGATGAACAACGGGAGGGTAGTGACAGTGACAGTGATGGGGTGCCCAGGACAGCCACGTGCAAGGCAAATGCCTTCCCAGCTGTACTCCGCCCCCTGCCCCTTCTTAGAAGGGCCTGTGTGCAAGCTGAGCCCTGACTGGTGATTGGGCAGGTAAATGGTAAATAAATAAGCGGGGACAAAATGATGATCCCGTAAAAGCCCCCCTAGACCACCCTGCCAGCGATACGCTGGTTTCCTCACCCCCAAGCAGACAATGGATTGAGGCTGAATAGCTGCTTGCACAAGGACTCAGGATTTCAGCAGCCACCCCGCCCCTGCACGCAGAGTCTGAGAGGCACTGCTGGGGCCGTGAGGGAGCCCCGCGGGACCCGACGGTGGACATCCGGCACTGGGGTTCCATGCGGTCATGGTGCCTGTGGACCCGGCCTCCAGCCTCGCTCGCTCAGTCACAAGCTTGGCCTTGAGTCAGAACACAGGGACGTCTCGGGACTCCTCGGAGCAGGTGCCCCAGCTGGAGGTGGAGCTGAGGGCCACAGCACAAGTCCCTCAAAGGCACGAGTCCCGTGAAGAATACAGCGGGAGCTGGAGCGATAGCACAGCGGGTAGGGCGTTTGCCTTGCACGCGGCCGACTCGGGTTCGATTCCCAGCATCCCGTATGGTCCCCCGAGCACCGCCAGGGGTAACCGCTGTGCATCTCCGGGTGAGACCCCCCCCCCCCAAAAAAAAGGAATACAGCAGCAAAGACAAACGGAAAGACAGGCCTGTGGGCCCTGGAGCCTGACGGTGGCTTAGACACAGGGATGGGCAGAGCCAGGCAGGACATGAGGAAGATCCGAGCTCTCGGGCTGGCCAGAAGATGAGGAAGGGGCTGGGGAGAGGACTGAGGCCGTCAGAGGCTGGCGTGAGAGGGCCACGACCTGGGGAGAGGGTTGGCATGCAAGGGCACGAGGCGGGGAGACCCTGAGCAAAGGCCTGGAGGCAGACCCCACATGCTCCGGGCACAGAAGGGCAGAGCAGCAGGAGCCGAGCAAACTGGAGGCTGGGGAAAGGGGCTCCGGTATGAAGGCCAGAGCAAAGGGGGACCCCAAGTGAGAAGGAATCAGAGTGTTCTCAGAGAGCGTGAGTGGGTATCCGGATCACACGTGGGGGGCTGAGCCCAGGGGGAAATGCAAGATGAGTGAAGCGGCCGGCGGCCTGCTAACCTCCGTAATGCACCTTTGGAGACCCCTGTCTTGCAAGGGCTCAGTTGGGATTCACGTGCCTTCTCGGCCACTCCAGCCCCAACAAGTCCAGAAATCACCTTCTACACAAGGAGGCCTGGAGCAGCCCAGAGAGTAGAACCTTAACCCAACACCCACCCACCCCCGCCCCCAGTTACGAGCCGAGCAGGGCGCATGGTGTGGTTCCATGCTGGAATCCAGGCCTTGCGCCCCACTGCCCTGCCCTGCCCAGCCCAATGGCATCCACAACAATGAAGAGAAAGAACCCAATAACGTGAAGTAAAAACCAGAATCATTGCCCTAAGGAAGGAGAGCTCATTCCTCCAAGACCATTCGCTCTGGGCAGCCATCCCGTAGACAGAGAGCCAGCTCGCCGGTGCCAGGGTCTCAGGAGGCTTCCGCTCTTCGCTCCGCTTCTCCTTCTCTTCTGTTCAGTCTAAGTCCTTCCTTTAAAGGCAATCTCAGGTGAAGACCAAAACACAAAAGTGCATTCAGAAAGCACCACAGCAGCTGACATCCATACTGCTCTGTGAAACACTTCACTGCTGGGGCCAGAGCGAGAGGACAGTGGGGAGGGCGCTGGCCTTGCACGTGACCAACCTGGGTTCAATTCCCCAGCATCCCAAAGGGTCCAACGAGCACTGCCAGGAGTGATTCCTGAGTGCAGAACCAAAAGTAACCCCTGAGAATCACTGGGTGTGGTCCTAAAACCAAAACGCACACACATACACACACACACACACACACACACACACACATTCGCTGCTGGTCAGGATTACCACCAAGACAAGGCAGTAGGTCACAGGCTGAGTCTGCTCTCACGCCATGGCATATTTCATTTTATTAATTGATTTTGGTTTGGGAACCACAGCCAGCCTTCCTCGGGGCTAACTCCTGGCTCTGCGGTCAGGGATCACTCCTGGTGGGGCTGGGGGACCCTATGGGATGCCAGGGATCGGACCCGGGACAGCCACGTGCAAGGCAAATGCCCTCCCCACTGTGCTATCACTCCAGCACCATCCATGGCATTTTTAAAAGAGGAACAAAGATGGTCAAGAGATAACACAGCAGGGAGGGCACTTGATTTATACAAGACTGACCCAAGTTCAATCCGTGGCACCACAGATGGACCCCGAGCCCATCAGGACTGAGCCCTGAGTGCAAAGGCAGGAGTGAGCCCTGAGCACTACAGGGTATGACCAATAAGTAAATAAGTAACGAAGAATCTTACACACACACACACACACACACACACACACACACACACACACACACACGATGTATCATTAACAAAACCCTCAGTAACCAGCTTTGAGCTCTAATCTTAGCATCTTATCACAGCTCAAGAAATAAAGCACTGAGAGATAGACTGGGGGTTAAGGTGCTTGCCGGGCACATGGCCTACCAGGGTTTGACCAGAGCCAGGAGTGAGCCTGAGCACAGAGCCGGGAGTGAGCCCCGAGCACAGAGCTGGGAGTGAACCCCGAGCACAGAGCCGGGAATAAGCCCCGAGCACAGAGCCAGGAGTGAGTCCTGAGCACAGAGTTGGGAGTGAACCCTGAGCACTGCTGGGTGTGCCCCAAAACCCAAATAAATCATAATCAGATCTCTACTGTTCACCTTAGGCCCTTCAAACACAGGATATATTTTGTGTATGGTTGGTCTGATACGGGATTCTTTTCTATAAATTCCTCGGCAAATGAGAACTGGGCCTGAGCTGGGCCACACCAGGACAGTGGGCCCAGGCAGTGACCACACAGCCCATGAGCAGGAAGGGGGCCCAGCGCCCCAGCACCCTGTGGAGGTAAAGCCCTGGAGGTCACAAGGGGCCCCCAGCCCCACTGAAATCATACTGAAAGCCAGCTGCTATTCCTCAGTCTCCCACTAGGTGGCAGTCCTGGGCAGAACGACAGTCCTGCAGGTAGGCACTGCAGACCTGGGTTCAATCCCGGGTATCCCACTGGGTCCCTGAGCCCCTCCAGGAGTGATCCCTAAGAGCAGAACCAGGAGTAAGCCCTGAGTACCGCCGGGCATGGCCCCAAAACAAAACAAACATAAAAAGAATCAAACTGGGGCTAGAGCAATAGCACAGCAGGTAGGGCATTTGCCTCGCACGCGGCCGACCTGGGTTCGATTCCCAGCATCGCATATGGTCCCCTGAGCACCGCCAGGGGTAATTCCTGAGTTCAGAGCCAGGAGTAACCCCTGTGCATTGCCAGGTGCGACCCAAAAAGAAAAAAAAAGAAAAGAATCAAACTGATCTTGGGTCCCAAGGTGGCTTAAGTGGCCAGAGCACACGCTCAGCGCGCAGAGGGCGCCTGCAAACCAGACAAGACGCTGCTCTTACAGGCAGCCTTGCGCCAGCAGCAGACCTCACTCTGGGCCGGGCCAGGTGGCCCCGGGCTCTGCAGAACGTGGTGGCGGGTGAGACAGCCTCAGCGTTCCAGAGTGGGGGGTCTGGCCATCAAGGTGCCAGGGAGGGGGGTCGGCCAGGGGAAAGCCCAGGGTGGGCAGAGAGGCCCTTTCTGGTGCTCAGTCGAGCTCTGGGGGCGTGAGGGGTGGGGAGGTGGCTCATAGCAAGGTCCTCCTTTGCCCCTCACACCCCTCCCGCTCATGGCCTGGGGCTGGCGGTCTGGGCCCTTCCTGATACCACCGTCAACCCCAGACAGACCCCAGCGCCGAGGATCGCAGCAGGCTCTCGCCGTGCCACTGAAGAGAAGACACCTGTGAGATGAGGAAGATACTTGTAAAGAACTCTGGGAGGACCCTGCCCTATTCTGGCGCCAACTATCCCAGCCCAGCTGAGCGCTCGTCCCTCTGAGCCCGGCGGAGTCAGGCGTGTCTGTCCCCGGGAGGGACTTAACACCTTAACTTGGTCCAGAATTCGGAAGTGAGAAAAGATGTCCACTTCCCTTCCTGAGGTGGGACCCACACTGGGCAGCGGTACCCAGGTCAGGCCAGCACAGGCACGTGCAGGGCTAGTGCCCTAACCCTGGTACTGTCTTCTGGCCCCTCATCAAAGCAGACTTAAGCAGCAGAGACAGGGAAGGAAGAAGAGCAAAAAGTCTCTTATGGCCATAGAAATATCCCAGGCAAATTTGCAAGACCTAGCTAGAAAGAAAAGCGTTGTTTTGTGCCCAGCAATCTGCCTCTAAGAGCCAAACTTCAGAGAAGAGTCGCTCACCAGGAGTGAGTGCTGACAATCACTTGCTGAGGACAGAGAGAAGACAACCAAAATCCTCCGCCAAATCCTGGTGGCTGGGCTACACGCGTGTTTCCAGCCAGGGGGACGGAGCACGAGGCCTGTGTCCACTCTGCACAGGGGACCAGATGTGACCCCTGGCATCACGAACCCCCAAGAATGGCT